GGTTGGGATTCTCTCTCTCTCCCGCTCTCTCTGCCCCTCCTCTGCTTGTTCTCTCTCTTTCTCTCAATAAATAAACAGACATTTTTTAAAAGATATTTTTAAAATGGTTATGTGAACAAAAATGTTTATATGTACATTAGAAAATGTTCACATTTGCAATTTTTTTCAAGCTGAAAAAAAAAAATCACACCAAACTGCTAGGCTGGGAGTAGGGAGTGGAAGCTGCAGTGGAAGAATTTTGCTTTTAAATTTCTACAGTTGCATAAACAAAAGCGTAATTAAGTTTCTACAATTGCAATTTTTTTTTTTACCTCAAGCCAATGTAATACTTGGAGAGAGAGGAGATAAATGAATAAAGTACTTATAACACTGCCTGACTCACAGTCAGTACCAGGTATGTGTCTGCCATTATTTCTCTTATTCTGTGACAGATCAAGGACATGAGCACCAGCCAGGAGGCTTGGGTATCTCTTAGACACATCTCAGGATCTTACTGATTGTGAATCCCTCCCCCCTCCTTAATTCCCTTAGTTCTTATAAAGTAGGAAGCTCTCGGGGAGAGCAAGTGCCAGGGTCAGGTGGCCCATGGTCAAAGCCCACTTTTGCCATTCTCCAGCTGTGTGACCTCAGGCAAGTGACTTGCCCTCTCTGAGCCTCAGGCTACTTCTTGGTAAGAACGGCAATAATAATAGGCTTGTGGGGATTGGAGGAGCAACTTGGGTGTCTGGATTTGGTTTCCCTGGAAGTAGACTCTAAAGCAAGGATTCAAGTACAAAAACTGTATTCTGAGACAAGAATTTAACTGCCAGAGGGCAGTGAGGAGGAGTGAGATGAAGGGAAGGCAGCTGGGAAAGGGGGTTTATCAAGGAAGTTCCCACTGGGGCACCTGGGATTCAGTCCCTCTGGGGACCTCGGGGAGGGAGCAGAGAACAGGCACCCACCAGGCATTACTCTGGGCCACTGCCAAGGGCATTATTTCTCCAGAATGTCCTACTTGCTCCAACAGCTGAGACCGGGTGGAGTTTGGACAGTGGCCTGATGTGGACACTTACAGTTGTTTGCTGAGTGGGGCTCTCCCTCCTCTCCTCCCGGGACACCCACACACACTCTCACACACACACGCACTCACACGCACATGTGTACTCACAAACGCACACCTGTGTGCAAGCACACATTCTCACACATACACACAATCCCACAATGCACCCACACTTGTGCACGTACACACACTCGCGAGCACACATGGTCACACGCTCACGTGCACACACCCACACACCTACTTACACACATGCACAGACACGGTCACACGCACAAGCACGCGTGCACACACACTCGTACACACTTTGAACTAATGGAGGAGACGAGACGCCGTAAAGCTTGTTGTCCCCGAACCGTCCAGCAGAGGGAGCCTCCGACACACTCAGGAGAAGGAGACACACCACCGGCTACTGGCCCGGGCCTGGGCGTGTTTGGAGAATCGGACACGCAGATTCAGCGGGTCCCGGAGACCCACGAGCCCCATGCCTCCCCTCCTCCCTCCCTCATTCAGTCACCACCACCGACCTTAGCGGAAAGTCAATGTGCATGAGAAGCATGATGGGTGAAAAACCCACACGGCAAAGGAGAACCGAGGTGCAGAAAGGGGCAGTCACGTGCCCAAGGCCACCGCGAGGAAGGGGCAGCGCCGGGTTTTAAACCCACGACATGTCGTCTCCCAAAGACCAAGTTTTTTTGCTGGAGGATGAGTGGCCTCGAACTGGGGATTCTGGCCGACAATCCCAGCAGACGCCACCTGGGGGCACCCCAGGACACACGCCGCAGTCGTCGCCTGCATCCCACCTTCCAGCTTTGACTTCTCTCCACGCCCCCCACCCCCACCACGCACCACCCACGCCTGCCACCACCCCCTTATAGGCAAAGCGAGGCTGGGGACCCAGACCCGCACTAAAGCCTCAGGGGTAAGCCACCCCGTCGAGGCCACAATATGAGAACATCGTCATCGGACCTTGGGTGAACCATCTCACTCTGGGGAAATCAGTTTCCACTTCCATTAAACGAGATAATAACAGTACTCGTGAGAATTAAGTGCCAGTATTTGGGAAGGACACACAGGAAGCACTCAACTTTCAATCTCATTATTGTTATATCAACTTTGGAGCCCCCCCAGGGGATTGGTCCTTAAACCACTCCTTCTTACACACACACACACACACACACACACACACACGGGGATCTCGCCAGTCTTGGGGCTTTTGAAACACCAGCTGTGTGCTGAGGTTTCCCAAATGTATACCAGCCCAGAACTCGCTCCCGAATTCAAGACCTGCCTTTGCAGCTGCCCCCTTGACATTCTCCAAATCCACCTGGCCCCAGCTGATATGCTGATCTCAGCCCTCACCCACCCCTGCAGAAAAACCCTCCTCTATTAAGCATTCTCCATCTCGAGGTGGCACTTTTATCTTTCCAGATGTTCAGACCCACATCTAGTGTCCTCCCTTTCTCCTGAATCCTCCGTTCAAGGCATTAGCAAATCTGCCAGCACCACCTTCATAAAGCAATCAGCCCTCATCAGAATCCAAGCACCTGCCTTCACTCACAGCCCACAGCTTGCTTGGAGCCACTGTCATCACTCACCTGGACACATCTGGTCACCCCGTCCTATCTCCCTAGTCCCATCCTTGCCTCACACTACATAGCAGACAAAGATTATATGACAAATCTTGTCCCTCCTCTGCCCAGAACCCTCCATGGCTCCTTATTTCTGTCACAGTCACAGTCAGTGGACCCCAAGGCCCTGTGTGACCTGCTCCTATCCCCTCCCTGACTTCATTCCCTTCCATGTCCCCCCTCTAGCCACACTGTTCTCCTCAATGTCCCCTAAACACCCCAAGCTTGTTCCTACCTCAGGATTTTTATGCGCTGTGTTCTCTCTGCCTCAAACACTCTTTCCCTAAATATCCACATGGCTCCTGCTCTCCCCCACCTAAAGTCTTTGTTGAAATGACCCCTTCTCAGTGAGGGCTTTGCTCACCACCTTAGAACCTCCTTCCCTCCACCCCGAATTACTGAACACCCACACATATACACACACATATCCAATTTTTCCAGTGCACTTACCACTTCTCTCCCACATGGGCCAATGTAGTCACCCCAGCTGGTCTCCCTAGCCTCACCCTTGCTTTCCCACAGAGCAGCCAAAGGAACACTAGAAAGACCAAATGACAAATCTGTTGCTCTGCTCAGAACCCTCCCATAGCTCCCCATGTCTGTCACAGCAAAGTAAAAATCCTCCAAGGCCCTGTGTGAATTTACTTATTTGCTCATTTATTGTTCGTCATCTATTAACCTCCCCCCACCCCCAACAAAGGTCAATTATGGAAGGGCTCAAATACCACCTGGCTCACAGCAGATGCTCAATAAATATTTGATGAATTAATACAGTTATTGTAGACCTCGTCACTGCCCCATCTTCTATATCATCATATCAGGGACTACACCATCACCTGTTCCCCCAGCCAAAGACTGGGGAACCACCCTTAACTCCTCCCTCACCTCAGCTCCTGTGGCTAGGTAGTACCCCCTCCTGTCCCACCCGGACCTCAGTCTCCCTCCTCCCCAGGTTTCCAGTCCCCAGTTTCCCCCCCTTCCAAGCCACCTGCCTGCCAGCTCATATCTGACCAGATCCTGTGCTGCCCCTGCTCACACACTTTCTATAGCTCCCTATTGCCTTCAGCATAAGACCTGAACTGAGATGGGCCTGCAGTTTCTGGGCAGTTGGCCCCTGCCCGACCTCCCTCCAGTCTGCACCCCGCCTCCAGATCCAGCCTCCCTGGTGGTGTTCCTCGAGCACCCCACTCTCTCCCTCACCTGGGGACGTTTGCAGATGCTGTTCCTCCCACCTGACAGGCTCTTCTCTCCCTGTTGCCACTCAACTTGTACCCTCACTTCAGCATCAGAGAAGCTCTCCCTGACCCCCCCTCCCCCCACGTTGTGTTCTCAACAAGGGCCTGCCTTTTGGCGCACTTGTCATGGATTGTGAATAAATTTACGTGTGGAAGTATTTGTTCAACATCTGTCCCCTGCTCTCCCGACGGCAGGAATTGGGCCCGGCTGTGCTCCGGGCCCAGTGCCAATAAACACTTAATTAATATGTGGTCTGTTGATGAGATAAATGAATGCACAAACTGTCCCCAAAAGCCTGGGTTTATATCCGAGGACAAATGGCCTCCCAGCCTCTTAGCCCATAGCTTCCCTTGGTGGCCTCCCAACTGTCCGGGCACCTTCATTGCCTTCCTGGAGCCCAAGGGAAGTGTCTGGCTGAGCTAGGGGCTGGCCGGTGGGAGATGTCTGCATCCCTTGCTTTTATTCTACAAAAATCAGAACACTCAGCAAAGGGCCTTTTGGCAAGGGAGGAAGGAAGAGGCTTTCCAGGGAGGGTCTAGATTTACAAAACAACAACAGAAGCACACATCCTGAGCCCTGGGGTGCAGCCTGATGCCAAGGAGTTCGCCCATGTGAGCTGGGGATCCCACGCAGGTGACGTCCGGGTCCAGGGCTCTTACTTTGGACTCCAGCTCTCAACTTAAAAGCCAGCAGGGATCCACGGGGGACAGGTCCTGAATCCCAGAGGCCTTAGGTGTCGGGTCATAGGTCCTCAGATGGCTGGGTGGGTGGGGCCTGAAGGCCCGAGTGCTCTGGATCCTGGGAGTGGGTCTGGGCCCGAAGGGACGCGGCAGAGCCTGGTCCCTCAGGCAGGAAAGCAGGACCTGACCTGGACCTCAAGCGGCGGGACCAGACCGTCAGGAGGCGGAGCCTTGCCGTGAGGGGCGTGGCCTGTACCTTCATCATGCGGCTCCGTGGAGGAGCCTGGTCCTCCGAACCAGGCCTCCGAGGGGCGTGGTCTCTGCCCTCAGGGTCCTGGGGGCGGGATCTGGTTCCCTCGGGGGCGGGGCCTGGGCCTCTTTGGGCGGGGCCTGGGCCCCCGGGATCCGCTGGGAGGCGCCGGCGATCAGGCCCGCGGAGGCAGTGGCTCCACGTTGAGCCAGATGCCGTTCTCCGTGCGCAGGATGAGCTCCGGCTTCCGCCGCACCTTGCGCGTTCGGTCCACGCTCAGGCGGAAGCGCAGCAGCGTCAGCGCGACGGCCACGCGCATCTCGGCCATGGCAAAGCTCTGTCCGATGCAGTTTCTAGAGGAAGGGGGACGAGGGGTGGGGAGGGCTCAGGTGCAGCCGCCGTGTGCCCCGGGAAGGGGGAGTCCCTGAGTAAATGACCGACTTCCCACTCTGGGCCTCAGTTCCCTCATCTGTAAAACGGGCGCAATGGCATAGAGTCGTTGGGAGCATATGAACCTAGAACTCCGGGCCTGCCACACAGTAGGTGCTCAATACCAGGGATGCTGTTGCAGAGTCTGATTTAGGGGCTTCCCAGGACACTGGAGGCATGAAGAGTGCTGGGTTGGCAGAAATCACATCTGGGTGGGAGGCGATCTCTGCTCCTGATCTGCACATCCCTGACCTTCCACTGCCCATGGCGCTTCTCCTACGCTTGGCTTGGACTGGGGGAAATAGAAGAGTTACCTGGGTCCGGCGGAGAAGGGCACGTAGGCCAGTGGGGAGCGCTGCTGGGGGTTGTCCGGGTCAAAGCGATAGGGGTTGTACACCTAGGCAGGAGCAGCCAGGAGGTGAGCCTGGGGGCTTGGCCCATCCATCCCAGGTTGGCCCTGATCCTTCCACTGGACGGAGAGAACCTCACTACAGTCCAGCCACACCTTCCTCTTTCTGTTGTTCAAGCATGCCAGGCTCATTCCAACCACAGGGCCTTTGCACTTCCTGTCTCAACTGCCTGGAACAGGCTTCTCCCTGCTCTTCACACTTTTCAGGTCTCAGCTCCAACACCTCTTCCTCCCCAAGGCCTTTCTTCACCATGTGAGCTGAAGTGCCCCCCCCCACGCCCTCCAGTCTTTATTTCCTTTGTGCATGTATCACAACCATAGTTTTTGCTTATTTTCTTCCCCTGAACTTCACAATGAGCTCCATGAAGGCAAAAAACAGTATCTTTCTCCATCCTCCATGCCCAGCACAGAGGCTGGCAAACAGTAAGAGTTCAATAAATATTTGAGGACCTAATGAATCAACAGTGAGCAAATACATGGGGGAGGGGCATTCAAGCTCTGCACTCAGCCAGGCCATCTGGGTCCCTGGGGAAGAGGGGAGGGAGGCCTTACTGCCCCAGGACCACCCGTCTGAGGAAGAAGAAGCTGAGGCAAGAGAGGATTGAGGAGGGCGCTCACCTTGGAGTCAGGCCACACTGTGGGGTTGTGGTGGGTTCCGTAGATACTGACCAGACAGATGATTCCTGTGGGGAGGGTGGCGTCAGTGGGGCCACTGGGGCTGAGGGGACCGGGATCTCTGGAGGTCTCCTCCTCCCCTGCTCTTCCTGAAGTCATGCTGTTCCCATGAGCCATTCTACCACCCTTCCCTACCCATCCTTCTCTGAAAAATTCCACTCCCCCTGTGCTCCCTGAGAGGTCCCGACCACCTCCTTTCTAGCTGCTATGCTGGCCACACAGGGATCTTTCTCACTCACAGATCTGACATTGTTCCTCCTCACCTCAAAAACCTCCCATGGCTCCCTACTGTCCTGAAGATCAAGTTCAAGTGCCTCGCCCTAGCATTCAAGGTCTTTCACTACCGGCACCCTGAGACTCTGCTTCATAAATATGCTCTCTCTTTCACTTTCAACCTTCAAGGCTCACCTCTCATGCTGCCTCTTCCAGGCAGACCCCCACCCTGAATTACACCCCAGATGAAGTCATCGCTCCTTATTTTGGACTCTTTCAGCCCCGGTTCCTTCCTTTAGCCCATCCCTGACCCCGTGTGATGGGGAACATCTGTGCCCTGCTGTGTCTTCCCCAGACTGTGTGGTACTCAAGGTCTAGAGCAAAGCTTTGTCTCCAAGGGATATCTGGCAACTGAATGAAACCATTCCTTCCTCACCTGCACCCTCACGGGGCCCACCACACCACACCCACTCTTGCCTTTCCACCTGGACCCACCCACCTCTCTCTAGCCCCTACACGTTGGGTCTCCTCCCTCACCCCAGAAGCAACAGCCACACAGGGAGATGCCCCGTCTACAGGGAGGGTGCACCTGGGGCAGGTATGACCACGCCCCCACAGGCACCAGAGCAGCCTGGCAGCCAGAAGCACAATGTGGGCACCTTTGGGGATGATGCGTCCGTCTGGAAGCTTAATGTCCTCCGTGCAGCGGCGGGAGACCAGGGTCACGGGTGGGAACTGGCGTAGGCTCTCCTTGATGCACATAGTGGTGAAGGGCAGCTGGGTCAGGTCATCCCTGGGGAACATGGAACGTGGAATGGCGGGTGACTTGGAGCCAGTCTAGAGCAACATCCCGTCCCCCACCCCCCCCACACACACAACACACGCTCAGAAGCAACCATGCAGGAAACCAGTCCAGGATTTCAGACTTGCCCCAGCTTCCGGTGTTTGCACTCATGCCATGCACACATCACTAATCCTCAGCATGCTAAATATCTGACCCCCAACCAATCCAAGCAGCACCAGCAGGCTTCTGCATGCCCAGCATTAACCCTTAAACTGATAGATTATGTGGCAGTCAGAGGATTGCCAGGAGAGGTGACAGAACAGGCAGTGCCCACCCCCCCCCCCCGGCAGCAGCAATTTACCAGCCTGTGTGGATCAATTTCAGTATTCAAAAACCTGTACATTCTCTCCTTATGTTATTACTAACTTCTTTCCATTGGACTCCAGGGCCCAAAACTGGATTAATTATAACCCTTGTGATCTAGATCATTTTCTTTTTCTTTCAAAGAAACTTTGCATTGCTACTGTAAAGGGCAAACGGCATGCCCGGCATAAAAGTACCCATAACATAGGGGTGCCTGGGTGCCTCAGTCGGTTGGGCATCCAAACTTCGGCTAAGTCATGATCTCATGGTTCGTGGGGTTGAGCCCCGCGTCGGGCTCTGTGCTGACAGCTGGCTCAGAGCCCGGAGCCTGCTTTGGATTCTGGGTCTCCCTTTCTCTTTGACCCTCCCTTGCTCACGCTGCCTCTCTCTCTCAGAAGTGGATAAAACATTTTAAAAAAAGTTTTAAAAAGTACCCATAACATAAACACCACTGGGAAAACAGATGAGTTATTAAATTCTGGCTAGACATCATCTTCTGCCCAGTCCTCGGAGCCTGGGCCATCTTTTCCATTCATTAAAAAGGCAGGTTAGCAAGGAGTTGAAGAATACCACGGCACCCAACAGAGAGTATCTCCCTGACATTAATATCTAAAAGGTTGACTCTGGGGGCCTGGGTGGCTCAATCGGCCTAAGCATCTGACTGCAGCTCAGGTCATGATCTCACAGTTCAGTTTGTGAGTTGGAGCCCCGCACTGTCAGCACGGAGCCTGCTTGGGATTCTCTCTCCTCTTTCTCTCTGCCCCTCCCTCTCTTGGGCTCCCCCCACCCAAAATAAATAAATAAACTTTTAAAAATTAATAAAGAAAAGGCTGACGCTGAACTGAAAAGAGCTTTCTCTCTATTGGATGCTATTTAATGCTGTGTTTTCTTTAAGTCACCCAAAAATCAGCTCTACATGGCACACATCTCAATTCTATACCCCATGCCTTTTGCATGTGATTCTGCAGTGCCTTCTGCTCAGGTGGGTGGAATATATGTCCTGCCGCATTCACGTTGGGCTTGGCTCTGTGACTTGCTTTAGCAAAATGGAATGTTAACAGTGCAAGCAGAGGTTTTAAAGTGTAGCTCTTTGCACTTCCAGAATCTGCCTTGAGAAGAACACGCCCCGGGTAGCTGTTGGTTCAAGGAGAATGAGGGGGGACGTGTGGAACAGACGTAACGCACACCTCCGTTCGGAAGCCACCCCGCTCAACTGAACGGCACCCTGCAGCAGCAAGAATAATATACAGGCAAGAGCAAGAAATGGGCGCAGACCAGAGCAAGAAACCCATACGCAAGCTCTAGACTCAGTCCATCCCCGACCCCCCCCAAACTGACCACTCCAGCTCCTCCAGCTCCCGGCCTTGCATGACCTCCTGGATCTCTTCCCGGCACTTCTCCTGGTACTCTGGATACTTGGCCAAGTTGAACAGCACCCATGACAGCCCACTGGATGTTGTGTCATGACCTGTAGGCAGAGGAGGAGCTCACGTGGAGGCTGCCTGAGGACGGCGGAGATGCGATTTTCTGACAACAGGGTCCCTCCCCGCCTCCCCCAGCACCCCCCCAACATCCTCACCTTCAAACATAAAGGTGTCCGCCTCGGCTCGGATGTCTTCATCAGACAGCTCCTTCCCGTCTTCATCCTGGAATGAGCGGGAGAGGATGCTCGGCCCACTTCATCCCCCCCTCCGCGTCCCAGGGCTAAGGCCAAGATACTCCCCCCTCTCTCAAGCCAAGCTGTGGGGGGGTGGGGGGAGGATTCCAGGCAGATAGAGGCACATGACTTGTCTAAGATGGAAAGTGAGAGGGAGAGCCAGAGGTGAAGGCAAGAAGGGAGTTTGTATTCCTCGAGCAGCCAGGAGCAGCAGGCATCCTGCTGGACACCCAACCCGGACCTGTGATCGGGTCTCGTGATGCTCGTGTCGTAAATGAGGAAACTGAGGCTCAGAGGGAAGAGTCAGGTGACCAAGGTGGAGGGTCCGCTGGGCAGCAGGACCAGAGCAGGAACCCAGGACACCCGGGTCCAGAAACTAAGTGCCTCTCAGGGACCGTGGAGGGGGTTCCTGGGCTCAGTCGTGAAGCATCGGGCTATTACTTTTTTTTTTAATGTTTTAGTTATTTCTGAGAGAGAGAGAGACAGCGTGAGCAGGGGAGGGTCAGAGAAAGAGAGGGAGACACGGAATCCGAAGCAGGATCCAAGCTCTGAGCTTGTCAGCACAGAGCCCGACGCGGGGCTTCAACCCACAAACCTGTGAGATCATGACCTGAGCCGAAGTCAGACGCTTAACTGACGGAGCCACCCAAGTGCCCCGAGCATCTGGCTTTGGTTCAGGTCATGATCTTGCAGTTTGTGAGTTCATGTCTCACATCAGGGGGAGCTCAAGCCCCACTTTGGGTGAACATGAGCCCCTCTTCCAGTGAGCCTGGCTTCTTTCTCTCTCTCTCTCTGCTCCTCTCTCTGCTCTTTCTCTCTCCCTCTCACTCACTTGTACCCTTTCTCTCTCTGAAAGAAAGAAAGAAAGAAAGAAAGAAAGAAAGAAAGAAAGAAAGAAAGAAAGAAAGAAAGAAAGAAAGAAAGTTTAACAGAAGCAATCTCTGCAAGTGTCATATTTTTTCAGACTTGGATTTCATTTTTTTTTAATTTTTTTTTTAATGTTTTATTTATTTCTAGGAGAGAGAGAGAGACAGCGTGAGCAGGGGAGAGTCAGAGAGAGAGGGAGTCACAGACTGAAACAGGCTCCGGGCTCTGAGCTGGCAGTCAGCACAGAGCCCGACACGGGGCTCGAACCCACGAACCGCGAGATCATGACCTAAGCGAAAGCCGGACGCTTAACCGACTAAGCCACCCAGGCGCCCCAAGGATTTCATTTTTTTTTTAAGTGTGGTGGACAAAATCATGTCCCTTGCCTCCCCCCCGGCCCCCAACACCAATCCTCTAGAATTCATATGGTGAAGTGCTCACCACCCAGGACCTCAGAATGTGACTCCATTGGGAGACAGGGCCTTTCGAGAGGTAATTAAATGATAATGAGGTCATTATGGTGGGCCCTAGCCCCATATGACTGGTGTCCTTTGAAGAAGGGACATTTACACAAAGACACAGGCCGAGGGAAGACAGTGTGAGCGCACGAGAAGGCGGCCATCTACAAGCCAGGGAGAGAGACCTTCGAAGAAACCAACCCCTGTCAGTGCCTTGATCTCAGACCTCTAGCCTCCAGAACTGTAAGAAGATGAACTTCCGAGGTTTCCCAGCAAAACTGCCGCAGTAAGTCTTACGTGTGCTGCACCTGCCTGCCTCCTAGATCTGTGTTATTTGGGACATTTATCATTTTACAGAGTCGGTGCAACTCACACGGGGCCCTGTCCTAGGCAGGGCTCCACCCTCCTGGGCCCAGCCTCACCTTGGCCAGGAGCAGCACATCGATGAAGTCCAAGGTCTTGCCCTGTTTGCCCTTAAGCCAGGCCTCAGCCCCCTGCTGGCGTAGTGCCCGCCGCCGCTCCTGGATGACCTCCGTGGTAAAGCGGTGCACGGTGTCACAGGCCTGCCGGAAGCGCCGCCCGTCTGCCGTGAGGTAGTAGACGAAATTGATGTGGTGGTGCAGGCGGTACTGGCGCCGGACCACGAGGGCGCTCAGCTCGATGATGGCCGAGATGTAATCGCTCATCTTCCTGCCGGGGAGAGGAAGGACCGTGAGCACCAGAGTGTTCTCCCCGCGGGGAGGTGACCCTGGCCCCTCCCAGAGCTAGCCAGTTCTTAGCGAGTGCCAACAACTCACCCAACAGTACACCTTTCATGTGCCCACCAGACAGTCCAGAGCCCGCACACTGAAACTTACCAGGCTGGGCCACTATCTCCAGGCCTTAATCACTGGACAACTAGGGACAGCCCCTGCCCTCCAGAGCCCCCTGTAGTTATTCAAACAAGTCAGTGCTAGGTCTGCAGAACTGCCATCCTGCTCCTTCCCAAGGAAACCACAAAAAAAGACTTTGGCCATCCTCTCTCCTGACTGACACTGTGGCCTTGGCGTGTGGACCTGAGTGGTGTAGCGCGTCCCCTCCGTTTGGGAACTGTAAGAACGATCATCTCCTGACCTGTTGGCCTCATCGTATCTGAATAAAACCAAAACCCAGGTACACTTTAACACTGGCCCAGAGGGGGATGAGGACTTCCCAAAGACTAAATGGCTTTAGAGTAAGAGAACTCATATATCTGATCACAAACTTGCATCTAAAATATATAAAGAACTCCTGGGGCACCTGGATGGCTCAGTCAGTTGAGAGTCTGAGTCTTGATTTTGGCTCAGGTCATGATCCCAGGATCATGGGACGGAGCCCCACGTCAGGTTTTGCACTGAGGATGTAGCCTGCTTAAGATTCTCTCTCTCCTTCTCCCTCTGCTCCTCCCCGGCTCACTATCTCTATCAAAAAATAAAATAAAAACAAACAAATAAATAAATAATATAAAGAACTCTTAAAATGCACTGGTAGACAAATAATCCAATTTAAAAATGGGCAAAACATATGCATAGGCATTTCTCCAAAGAAGATATACAAATGGCCAAGAAACACATGAAAAGATGCTCAACAGCATTAGCCACTATGGAAATGCAAATCAAAATCACAGGGAGATACTGTTTCACCCCAACTAGGAATGGCTATAATCAAAAAGACAGATAATAATAAGTGTTGGTAAGGGTGTGGAGAAACTGAAGCCCTCACATACTACTGGTAGGAATATAAAATGCTATATGCCCTTCTCTCTCTCTCTCAAAATAAATAAACCTTAAAAAAAATTTTTTTAAATTTATTTCTAGGAGAGAGAGAGAGACAGCGTGAGCAGGGGAGGGTCAGAGAGAAAGGGAGTTACAGACTCTGAAACAGGCTCCAGGCTCTGAGCTGGCAGTCAGCACAGAGCCCGACGCGGGGCTCGAACCCACGAACCGTNAAAAAGTAAGGGAAATATTGATCTGAATATCATTTGGAATTCTGTTCTATATAAATTCTTGATTAATTTCTTTTTTTAGATTAAACATTTTTAATGTTTTTATTTATTAAAAAAATTTTTTTTTTAAATATTTTTATTTACTGCTAGGAGAGAGAGGAAGAGAGAGACAGCGTGAGCAGGGGAGGGTCAGAGAGAAAGGGAGTTACAGACTCTGAAACAGGCTCCAGGCTCTGAGCTGGCAGTCAGCACAGAGCCCGACGCGGGGCTCGAACCCACGAACCGTGAGATCATGACCTAAGCGAAAGTCGGACGCTTAACCGACTAAGCCACCCAGGCGCCCCTAAAAAAAAATTTAAAAAGGGGGGGTGCCTGGGTGGCTCAGTTGGTTGAGCATCCGACTCTTGATTATAGCTCAGGTCATGATCTCACAGTTCATGGGACCAAGCCCCACATTGGGCTCTGTGTTAACAGCATGGAGCCTGCTTGGGATCCTCTGTCTCTCTCTCTCTCTGCCCCTCCCCCACTCACACTCATGCTCTCTTTCTCTCAGAATAAATAAATAAACATCTTAAAAAATGGAAAAAAAAATGAGGGGCACTTGGGTGGCTCAGTTGGTTAAGTGTCCGACTTCAGCTCAGGTTATGATCTCACAGTTCGTGAGTTCAAGCCCCATGTCAGGCTCTATGTGACAGCTCAAAGCCTGGAGCCTGCTTCCAGTTCTGTGTCTCCCTCTCTCTGCCTCTCCCTTACTCATGATTTCTCTCTCTCTTTCACTCTCTCTCTTTCAAAAATAAAGATTAAAAATTTTTAACAAAAGAACAAAATGAAATCACTGGGACAGGTGTGCAAGGGGCTGTCCTTGGTCCTTAAGTATGCTTGTTGTTTCCACACCCATGTCACAGTCTGTCATTTTCTTGTTTACTTATTTGGTCATGGTTACTGCTTTTCTTCCCACCAACAGGTAAATTCCAGAGGAGCAAGACTTCGTCTATTTTGTTGACCATTATATTCACAGTGCTTAGTCCAGGAGTGGCACATAGTAGGCCTGTAATAAATATTTCTGGACTGATTACTTCATTCATTAACTAATTAATCACTAAAGCCATTGTCACCTTACCCAACTGAAATATAATCCTACAAAGCCCAGAGTAACAAAGTCAGCAGCTTATCATTGAGAACCTACTATGTGCTACAAACTTACCAGTTATGATGTATCTTATTCCTTATATCCCCACTTAGACTATAAATTCCAAGGAACTGGGACTTAGTCTATTGCTCACTACCATATTCTCAGGAGCTATCATAGTATCAGGCCCATAGTAGGTTCACAACAAATATCTGATGAATGAATGAATGGATGGATGGATGGATGGATGGATGGATAGATGGATGAACCAGGACAATGGTTATTTCATTCATTCATTCAACAAATATTTACTGAACATCTACTGTGTGCCAGGGCAGTGCAACATCACCTTATTCTTTTTTTTAATGTTTATTTATTATTTTTGAGAGAGAGAGAGACAGAGTACGAGCAGGGGAGGGGCAGAGAGAGAGGGAGACCCAGAATCCGAAGCAGGCTCCAGGCTCTGAGCCATCAGCACAGAGCCTGATGCGGGGCTCCATCTCACGAAACGCAAGATCATGACCTGAGCTGAAGTTGGATGCTTAACCGATTGAGCCACCGAGGCACCCTTAATGTTTGTTTATTTATTTATTTATTTATTTATTATTTCTAGGAGAGAGAGAGAGAGACAGGGTGAGCAGGGGAGGGTCAGAGAGAGAGAGGGAGATACAGACTCTAAATAGGCTCCAGGCTCTGAGCTGGCAGTCAGCACAGAGCCCGACGCGGGGCTCGAACCCACGAACCGCGAGATCATGACCTAAGCGAAAGTCGGACGCTTAACCGACTAAGCCACCCAGGCGCCCCAATGTTTATTTATGTTTGAGAGAGAGAGACAGACAGAGCGACAGAGCATGAGTGGGGGAGGGGCAGAGAGAGAATCCCAAGCAGGCTGCAGGCTCTGAGCTGTCAGCAGAGCCTGACAAGGGACTCAAACCCGTGAACCACAAGATCATAACCTGAGCCAAAGTCAGACGCTTAACTGAACCATCCAGGCGCCCACATCATTCTATTCTTAAAGCGTGTCTCAGAGGGTCGAGAATTGTCATCCTTCTTTTACAAAAAAGGAAACTGAGGCTTATAGCCTGAGGAGACAGTTTCCAAAGGCCAAACTATTCCTCGTGGAGGAATGAGGGAAACTAGTATTTACTAAGCACCTACTCTACACCAAACCACCACCTTACATTACCTCACTTAATACTCACAAGGCAACTATGGGGAAGGAACTGGAATTCCGTTTTTTGGATAAGACCCAGAGAAGTGCAGTTTTCAGAAACACACAGCCTGTCAGTGGCAGAGTAGCAACAGCCCAGGGATGTCGAGCACACCTGAGAACTTCCTTTCTTCTCCCCCCACCCTGCCCTGGGGCAGCTGGCTCTATCACTCCCCTGCACCAGGAAGGCCACACTCACTCCTGGCAGTTGCTGTTGTAGCTGAAGACACATTTCTGAAGACTGTCCAGGGTCATGAGGCTGACATGCTCAAACATGTCAAGGGAGACCACCGGTCCCTCCGCCAGGCGCCGCCATTTAGCCTGGAAGAGAGATAGGTGGCAGATTGATGCAGAGACGGCCGGCTTCGAGCCAGGCTGACAATGACGCCCCAGCTGCCTGCTCGTCGCAAGCCCATTTTATGGGTAAAGGAGGTGAAGCTTCCTGATATCACCTGGCTTCAGGACACCCTCTTCCCAAGAGACTTTGCGACTCACGTGCATGATGTCAGTGCACTGGTTGAAGACCTTCATGTAGGGCTTCAGGATGTCGAAGTGAAAGGCGGGTGTCAGCAGGCGGCGATGCCGGCTCCACTTGTCACCTTTGCTGAGCAGCAGCCCATCTCCTGGGTCCAGGAGACTGACATTAGGAACCTCTCCTACTAGTCTGAATCACTACAAGGAACCCCACACCCCTCCCCCTCTTCCCTGAAGCCCCAGCCCCAGCTCATGCAGCCCCACACTCACCCAGCCATGGTTTCAGGAAACCATAGAAAAGGTCATCCTTGGGGGCTATGGCAGCTGTGGAGAGAGAAGAGGTGATGATAACTCAGAAGAGAGTTCTGACCCTTGACCTCTGCTTATAACCTCCTTGGGCCTCCTCTCTGAGGTCTGATCTCCCCCTTACCTGTCCAGTCTGTTCTCCACACCTGCCCCAGAAAGACCCTCATAAGATGGTGATCTGAACATGTGCCTCCCCTGCTCAGATACCTCCCATGGCTCCCTATCACCCTGGCAAAACAAGTTCAAGCTCAGGTTCGCACTGAAGGCCCCACCCGTCTTGTCTCTGTGTGCCTCTCCTATCTCACCCTTCAACATACACAAAAATAGCCTCGCATATTGGCCGTAGTTCCTACTTTGTCTGGGCTGTGCTCCCCATCCAGAATGACCTGCTTCACCCTAATCACCCCCTCTTTTCAGGCCATCTGAATTCCACCTCCTGTGCTCTCAGTCTCCAGGGCAGTCTCCTCCCTGCACTCCGGTCCCAGGAAGTCCTATCAGACGCTAGATCTGACCATGTCCCTTCCTGCTCACACCCATTAGCCACAAGCACCAGCCGTTTGGCCCATTTTCAAAGCCCTGCATGATCTACCCCAGCCCAGACTTCCCTCAAAACATCTCTATTATCCTCAGGGTGCCTGGGTGGCTCAGTCAGTTGAGTGTCCGACTTTGGCTCAGGTTGTGATCTCACCACTCGTGGGTTCAAGCCCCGCATTGGGCTCTGTGCTGACAGCTCAGAGCTTGGAGCCTGCTTCAGATTCTGTGTCTACCCCCGCTCTCTACCTCTGCCATGCTCATGCTCTGTCTCTCTCTGTTTCTCAATAATAAATAAATGTTAACCAAAAAAAATTTTTTAAGCTCCTTAAAGGCAAAAACTATTATAAAAAAAAAAGAGAACATCTCTATCCTCCATTCCCTACATACTCAATGTTCGAACATCACAGAATTTTCTCATCTCCTTGAAAAAGCCACATTCTCTCTCTGTTCTTTCGCCCACATGCCCTCTCTGCCTCAAACACCCTTCCTTCATCCTTCGAGTCTCTGCTTGGATGCCATCCCTCCCCCACCAATCCCTCCAGATTGGATCCATCCAGACACAAGTCCCTGGAGGGAACAGACCATGTTGAACACTGATATATCAGTGCTAAAAAAATTTTTTATGGAATGAACCAGCCAAAGGATGAAAGAATGCAAAAATGGATGGATGGATGGATGGATGGATGGATGGATGGATGGGTGAGTGATTGAATTCCCTTTCTATGGGCTGAACAGATTTGGGACCGAATGGGCAGGGGCTCAGGAAAGAAGTACCTGAAACTCAAGTGATGTCACTTTTACCTGAGATGTGACTCATCCACCTACACACAAACTACCTAGGAATTGGCCAATTGTGCACACAGTCATCTGTCCATTCATTCTCTTATTCAGAGAGCTCTGCCACCCTTGGTACCCAACCCATGCTGGGCAGTGCTGGGGATCGGAGAGGGCTCAGCTGCACACCCTGCCGGGAGGAGATCCAGGTGGGGTGAGAGAGGAAAGTGGAGGCACGCCATGCAAATATCGAGGATGTAGAAAGTGTGCCAGAAGCAAAGGGAGGCACAGAGAAAGGGCTGCTAGACAGCCTTCCGGGCTTCCGGGAGGAGGTAACATTGGAGAGGAAGGTGGAAGTCTATCTAGTCACTGAGATCTTTCCTCTCTGAGATCTGGACTCCAACCTAGGCCCCTTGAGGTCTTTCCGATACACAGACGCATTCAACAGTTGCCCAGATCAAGCACCATTCCCTAACACCCCCAAGCTAAAACACAGGCTCATTTGCTTTGCACACAGGTGCTCTGAGTCCATCTCCTGTCTCATTGCCGACTCATCCCCACACATCACCTTCACTCCAGACCCCCCGAGTCACCTGCATTCCGCTGGCACTTTCGCACATCTGCACCTTTGCCCTGGTAGAACCTTCCACCTGAGTCTTCTCATACGGCAAACTCCTACATGTCCTTCAAGGCCCAGCTTCATTGACACCTCCTCCATGAAGTCTTCTCCAATCCCCCGCCCCTACCCCAGACTAAACCTTTGCTCTCCCATCCTCAGATCCCTACACCACTCCAACTTTGACCACTAGATTCCAGGAGAGTCTGTGTCCAGGCTGCCTTTTCCCTTTGTGTCCCTTTCAGTAAAAAGGGGATGGTTTACCCTGGAGGAGGTCATATAAGAAAAGGCCCCACCCAGTGCTCAGCAGGAAGCTACATATCCCTGTGTTTAAGAGCTTGGCCGCTGGGAGGGCCAGATCTTGGTTTGAATCCCAGCTCCACCACTAACTCGGTGTGTAAACTTGAGGGCATGTTAACCATGCAGACCCTCCATTTTTTTCATCTGCACGAGGAGAAATAGAACAATCCTGTCTGTCTCGTGGCATCCCTACAAAAACTCAATGAGCTAATATGCTCCCGGCACACGGCAGGTGCTCATTAAATATTTGTACACATAAATGAATAATTAACCAACCGCAGGCTATTTTTATAACCATGATTATAATTATTGGTCATTGGTGTCAAGAACTCAGGAGATGATTACCTGCACCCACAGTTCACAGCAAGCCCCCACTAGTGAAAAATAAAAGCACAGCCGCCGTGGAAAGCTGTTTGGTGCCTCCTTAAGAAGTTAAATGTAGAATTCCCATATGGCCCTGCATTTCTACTCCTCAGTATCTACCCAAGAGAAATGGAAATATACATCCACACCGAAACGCATACAGGCATATTCATAGCGTCATTGCTAACAGCATAAAGGTAGGAAGGACCCAAATGTCTGTCAACGGATGAGCAGATAAACAAATTGTGGTATATCCATACAACCACACAATAGACTATTACTCAGCCTTAAGAAAAATTGGGTGCTGATAATTGCTACAATGTGGACAAACCTCGAAAACATGCCAAGTGAAAGAAGTCAGGGCAAAAGGCCACATTTTGTATCATTCCTTCACTGTGCTATATCCAGAATCGCAAAGCCACAGAGATAGAAAATAGAGTGGCATGTCCCAGGAGATGGGGGTGGTGGGGGGAATGGGAAGTAATTACTTAGTGGGTACAGGCTGTTTAATGGAGCCGTGAAAAAAATTTGAACTAGAGAGAGCAGAGGGCTGCGCAACATTGTGAACACGCCAAATGCCTTTCGGTTTCAAACTGTACATTTTAAAATGGTTAATTACATGCTATGTGCACTTCATCTCAATAAAAAATAAATGTATAAAGACAAGCTATAATGATATGCCTATATGTCACACTTCATTCTCTATAACGCGTTTCCCCCTGCTTCCTCCCATTAACGCTCTCCAGCCCAACTGCCCAATAGAAGATGAAGAAACAGAGTTTCCAGGGGGAGCTGTGCCTTTCTCAGGGCCCATGGGCTGTGTGGGTTTAGCCCCAGGGTAGCAGGGTCCCCAGGTGTGGGCCCCAAGGAGGCCCCGGTGGGGGATGGGATCCACAGCTTGGGGCCAGACCGTCAGTCCTGACTCACAGCCCCCCCCCCACTCCCACTCCCCCAGCAGAGGAGGCCCTGGATACCCTGCCTGTCCTGAGGGAGGGGAGAAGGAGAGGCCTGGGCATCTACTATGCACCGAGGCCATGCTGGGGGCTCTACTCCCTACTCTATTTGGGGTCTCACAACCATGTACGATGGTCCTCGGGAATCTGAGTCTCTGAAGACAAGGAAAGGGGAGAAGGAAGAGGAGGTGGAAAGAAAGAAAAACAGGATGTGAGAAAGGCAGGAGAGAAGAAACCCTCATGAGCACCTACCCACATCATAGTGAGTCTTCACCACCACCCCATTTTACAGATCAGAAACTGAGGCCCTGAGAGCCGACATGAATTTCTGGGTCACGCAGCAAGTATGGCTGTGGCCTGGATTTGAGCCCAGAGCACCCAAGTCCCGGCCCAGGGCTCTTTCGACAACTTGAAGCCCATCTCTTTGAGGAGTCCCCTTTCCCCGGGTCCCCGCTCCCGCTTTGTGCAGTGGGGATGGGCATCCCACTAACAAATGCAATCATGGGGAATGAAACGTGGGGATGGCAGCCCCTTCCTCTTTCACGGCTCTGACGTGGCAGCCTTGAAGGTGGTTTCTAGTCAAAGAGAGGTCTCAGCCTCTCTTTGCAGAGGCGCAGGCTAGGGCTGGAGGTCCTAAAATTCCTGGACCTCCCTCATTCCTCCCTCCTCTCTCAAATGTCCCTGATGCCTCTGGAGGTGCCCAGATACGTGCAAGGCCACTCTGAAGATGCAGGCTCCTATGGGGAAGACAGAGCTGGACGCAGACACACTCAGTCAGCCCTAGAAGGTTAGGACGGAGAAGGGAAAAGCTCAGAGGAGAAAACCATGATCTGTCTGGAGGGTCAAGGAAGTCTTCCTGGAGGAGCAGTTTCCCTGGATCTGGGTGTTTAAGGTTGAGCAACAACTTGCCAGGCACACCCAGGAGTCCTACACCTTGGGATTGGTGTGGATTCAGAAGGGAGAAGCAGTCCTTCTAAGTCTCCTCTTCCGCCAGTCGGGGTCAGCCCAGGTGAAGAGTACAGGCTGCAGGCTGGGATGGCCACAGCGGGAACATCAGAACTCAGACGATGGGACTGCCGTGGCTTAGAATTAAGCAGCAGCCACTAAACAAGATCTTGGGCAATTACCTATTTGAACGTGTTTGACTCTGACTTCTAGGTGGGTAGACATCCTCTCAAAGTTCCTACGACTTCTAGACACCGTCACACCTCTTCCCGTGCTGTCCCCACTATCTGTATTACCATGGCTGCTTTGGTGAACTCCTATTCATCCTTCAAATCCCTATTCAAATGGCCCTTCCCCCAAACAGCCTACATGTCCAGAAGCCTAGGTGATTTCTGGGAGTTGAGGGTTTAGCCATCACTCAAAGGCCCAGCCCACCTACCTGAGGCACCCACCACGGGCTTGATGTAGTCAGGGTGCACCAGAACCAACAGTGGCAGAACAGGGCCAATCCACACCAGGATCACATGGTGCATGTTGTCCAGCACCTTCTTCTCATCTTGGAGGCCCGTCTCGTTTGGAAGATACTGCAGGGGGTGGGAGGGAAGGACAGTGAGGAGGAACCCAGCCCCCAGCTTCCCCTATAGCCTTTCCCTCCTTCCACCGCCCATCCTCAAGAACAAGCCCGGAAGAGCTGTCTGATTGCGCACATATGATCGGCAAGATGGCTGCACCTTGCCGCACCTCCATTCCCTCATCTGGGGAGTGGGGAAGAATCAACCCTCTGTCTGAGGCCAGCTGAGAAAACTTATGAAATAACAAACTGAAAGACACCCCCTCCCCCCCAGCACAGGGGCCTGACACATAGCCGGTGTTCCAGAAATAAAAACAATAACCGTACACCTGATACTAATGATCAGCATTTGTCGAGTACTTGCTAGGTTAGTAATAAAACACCACTAGCATTGTTATCTTTAACACTTGCATGTGCTTACAGTGTTAGGTGCTGCTGTGGACACTGTTCATATAGTTAATACCTTCAACCTACCCAAGAATTCTATGCGACAATTGCTACTATTTTCCCCATTTTACTTTGCTTGGAAAAGTCCAACGACTTGTCTGAAGGTACAGGTGAGTAAGTGATTGTCCTGGTTTGGGCTTCCCCAGAGCCGCCTCCCAAATTCATGGCCCCGGGAGGCAGGCTGGGCCTACAGGGTCAACATTGTCCACATCGACCCGGTTGACTCTGGGCACCAGGGCCTGCCCACTACCTTCAGGACCACCATGAAAGCCAGATGGCTCTTGGAATAAGAGCATTGGGTACGGGCCATGAAGAATGAGTAGGAGTTCATCTAAGTGACAAGGATATTTGGGGCAGAGGGCACAGTCCCAGCAAGGACCATGGAGGTGAGAAGTCAGAGCCTAGACTAGAGCGAGTAGGGCGGGAGTCAGAGTCTAAAGGGACTTGGGCACTAGCCGAGGAGCTGAGACTTTCCCCAGACAGCAGTGGGGAGTCATGGAGGGTGTGTGATCAGAGGGGGGACATGGGTGGTTTCGAGAATCCTCCCGGAGGCCAGGACGGGGACAGACTGGAGACAGGAGCCCAAGGAGGAAGCTGGACCAAGGTCCAGCCGAAGACAATGAGGCCTGAGCAGGGTGGGGGGTGAACGGGAGGAGGGAGACTTGGGCACAAACAGGCGAAACCTGGTGAGTGTGGTGTCAGGGGAGCCATTCCTAAAGCCACGTAAAATATTCTTGGAGCTCTTAGCAGAAACGAATCTCCTGCTTCCTTCCTCTGAGACACTCACTGCAAGTAGCGTCTGAAATATTTCTAGGGGCGCCTGCGTGCCTCAGGCGGATAAGCGTCTGACTCTTGATTTCAGCTCAGCTCATGATCTCACACTTCGTGAGTTCCAGCCCTGCCTCGGGCTCCACACTGACAGTGAGGAGCCTGCCTGGGATTCCTTCTCTCTAACTCTCTCTCTCTGCCCCTCCCCCGCCCCACTCACATTCTCTCTCCCAAAGTAAATAAAGAAACGTAAATAAAACAAAATAGCTATTTCTGGAATCACTCGATACTTCCGGTCTCTGCAGGACTCAGGGCTTGAGCACACCCACCACCGCGTGGCAGGGTCAGTGCCAAGCGCCACAGACAGGACTTCAGGAATTGTCAGCACATCTCACGAGGTTATCAGGACCCATCATAATCCCCACACTGCGGATGGGGAAACCAAGGCACAGGCAGGTGAAGTCGTTTGCTCAAGGCCGTGTGGCAGGAGAGGGTCAAAACGGACATCGAGGTCACACTGGTGACCACTGCCCGTGAACGGCCTCTCCAAAGTCCACGTCTGCACTCAGCATGAGGCCTAAACCAGGAAGGTCTCCACAACCATCCCTCAGTTTCATTTAGGGTTAGAAGGGGGCCCAGGCGAGTGCAGTAGGCCGTAAGGGACTGGGCTCTAAGATCCCAAAAGCCGCAGTGCCCTCAGAAGTCTGGCTTTCTTCCCACCACTGAAGCTCTTTTAGAAGAGCGCAGGTTTTCTCAGCCAGAAACAAGAGGTGGCAAAGGGTACAGACCTAGGAGCAGGCAATCTGGGCCAATGGCCTAGTCTTGAGTCCCAACTCTGCCGCCTACAAGCTGTGTGACCTAGGGCCAGTTACTTAACTTCTCTGTGCCATAGTATCTCAGGAGCAGAATGGGGATCATGGTGGGACCTACAGCCTAGGATTGTCAAGAGGACTGAGTGAGTTACTATTTTTAAAGTACCTGATATAATTCTAAGCACATGTATGTGAAATAAGAAATGAAAGGCGGGATTTCTGGGTGGCTCAGTCGGTTAAGCGTTCAACTTTGGCTCAGGTCATGATCTCGCAGTTCGTGAATTGGAGCCCCACATCAGGCTCTGTGCTGACAGCTCAGAGCCTGGAGCCTGCTTCGGATTCTGTGTCTCCCTCTCTCTCTGCCTCTCAAAAATGAAAAAATGTTTTGGGGCACCTGGGTGGCTCAGTCGGTTAAAGTGTCCAACTTTGGCTCAGGTCATGATCTCATGGTTTGTGGGTTCGAGCCCTGCATCAGGCTCTGTGCTGACAACTAGCTCAGAGCCTGGAGCCTGTCTTCAGATTCTATGTCTCCCTCTCTCTCTGACCCTCCCCTGCTCACACTGTCTCTATCTCTCTCTCAAAAATAAATAATAAAAACCAAAAACAAAATTAAAAAATGAATAAATGTTTTTTAAAAATGAAATGATTTCACCATGTGTAGCAACATGGATGGAACTTGAGGGTGTTATGCTGAGCAAAATAAGTCAGGCAGAGAAGGATAGATACCATATGTCTGCACATATAGGAGGATTAGGAGGACCTTAACGGAGGACCATGGGGGAGACGAAGGGGGGAAATAGTGGGGGAGAGGGAGGGAGGCAAACCATGAGAGACTCTTGAATGTTGAGAACAAACTGAGGACTGATGGGTGTGGGGGGGAGGGGGGAGATGGGCACAGAGGAGGGCACTTGTGGGGATGAGCACTGGGTGTTATATGGAAACCAACTTGACAATAAACTATTTAAAAATAAATAAATAAATAATAAAAAGCAAAAAAAAAAACAAAAAAGAAATGAAAGGCAAGGCAAGAGAATGAAAAAGAGGGTGCAACCACACTGGGGGGTGGGGTGGAGCAAAATCCACAGGGGTTCCCCTCACCCCGCCCTGGAATCACAGAACCTGACGACTTTCACGAACACTGGTGACTGTTGCTACAGCAATAGGCTGAAATTATAGAGGACACTTCGGACTCAGCTCTGCCTCATCCCAGCTGTGTGATCTTGGGCAAACGGTTTGCCCTCTCTGAGCCTCAATCACACTTATATCCTGTACAATGGGTCTGTTCATGGCTCCAAACTGATTCTTAGTGGAATGAAGAAGCCATCAGGATCATCCTCCTTACTGAACACCTGGCCCCTGCCCAGCCCGGCTGCCCAGCTGCACACACCATGCCCAGGTGGCCCAGCAGCCAGTTGCGCCGGGATGGCTGGGGGAAGCAGCGCAGCCGGCAGCACATGACGTAGAAGCACCAGCAGAACCTCAGGAACTGGATCAGCAGGCAGAAGAGGAAGAAGAGCAGGGAGAGGAGGAGCGCAGACCCGGCGTACAAGCGGAACGCGGTCTTCTCCAGTCCCAGGAAGCACAGCAGGTGTTCTGTGACGGGCAGCATCCTGGGGGAACACACGCGACGGGGCTCAGTGCGGGGAGGAACCAGCCACTCTGGCCATGTGTGTGCCACACACACGATGGCCTGTGGAGTCAAGCATAGTGTACCAGGCACACCGGATGTGCTCCATCCACATGAGTCCCAGACACCAAAAATACCCTCCAAACTTCCCCCAGCAGCGACCTTCGGAGAGCCGGCCAGATGGATGCACCAGTGCCCTGTGCACACGCCCTCAGCCTTCACTCTGCAGGGCATCCTTCCTGACTCCTCCGCCCATGCCTGGCTGGCCAGAGTGTTGGAAAATTAAAACACATACACTTGCGCCTTGAAAACAGCTCATTTTTTTTTTTAATTTTTTTTTTTTTTTTTTTTTAGGAGAGAGAGAGACAGCGTGAGCAGGGGAGGGTCAGAGAGAGAGGGAGTCACAGACTGAAACAGGCTCCAGGCTCTGAGCTGGCTGTCAGCACAGAGCCCAACACGGGGCTCGAACCCACGAACCGTGGGATCATGACCTAAGCGAAAGTCGGACGCTTAAGCCACCCAGGCGCCCCATTGAAAACAGCTCTTAACCAATGCCTGATGAATATTGCTAGATAAATCCCTTCTCCCCTTGGGGCAATGACCTTGAGATGTGAGTTTCACACGCGCTACCGGGGTTCCGCAGCAGGATTAAATTCCAGCTGCCCACAGAAGAAACTGCCTCTATTAAGTGCCTTCCTTCCCCTGTCTTCCCTCTTTTTCTTTATTTAATTGAGGTGAGATTCACCCAACATGAAATGCACCATTTTAAAGTACAGTTGACCCTTGAACAACGCAGGGGTTAGGGGACCCCAAGCCCCTGTGCAGTCAGAATTCCATGTGTAACTTTTGACCCCCAGAAAACTGAACTACTCGTAGCCTACTGCTGACTGGAAGCCTTACAGATAATGTAAACAGCCAATGAACACGTATTTTGAATGTTATATGTATTATATACTGTATTCTCATAAGAAAGTAAGCTGGAGAAAAGAAACTGTAATTGAGAAAATCATAAGAAAGAGAAAATACATTTACAGTGCTGCACTGTAAAACAAAACAAAACAAAAATGGATGTAAGTGGACCCTGAAGTTCAAATCCGTGCTGCTAAGAAGTCAATGGTATACAATTTGGTGGCACCTAGCATATTCATAGTCGTGCATCCACCAGCTCTATCTACTTCGAAATGGTTTTCATTGCCCCGAGAGGATATCCCATCCCGATTAGCAGTCACCCCCCTCCCCATTCCCCTGGCAATCACTAAACTGCTTTCTGCCTCAATGGATAGTTTATTTCATCCAAATGGGACCATACAGCTTGTGACCTTCTGTGTCTGGCTTCTTTCACCCAGCGTGATATTCTTGAGGTTCAGCCACATTGCAGCACGTGTCTGAACTTCATCTCTTGCACTGCTAGGTAATATTCCATTCTGAGGATGGATCATAATGTTAATCCTTTTATCTGTCGATGAGTATCTGAGCTGTTTCCACCTGCCATCGATTGTGAAATGTGCTGCCGTGAACATGCACATACAGGTATTTGTTTGAGTCCCTGTTTTCGACTCTTTGGGATTCACTTCCTTCTTCCTTACTGGTATGTTCTGTGACCACTTCCCAAATAAGCTCCTTGCACTCAAATCCTTGCTCTAGGGTCAGCTCTTGAAGGAACCAAAACAAAGTGGGCAGTTAACAATAATATTAATAACACAGCGACCAGGTATAGAGCATTACAATGAGCCGTGTACTACACGCAGGGACACGCATGCATGCCTCATTCTATGGTATCTTAAAGTGGGCCGCAGAGTAAGGTCCTACAATTCTTTCCACTGTTGGGACAACTCAATATCTGTTCCTCTAACTCAAGGGAGCTGGAAGCTGGCAGAGGCCCCCTGAACCCCTGTCAAAGGCCAAACTCAATCACGTTGGGGGCCCACAGATCTCAGACAGTGCCAACAAGATTCCTGAAAACGGTTGGGTCTTGCCCTCCTTTCCTTAGTCTGGCTGCCCAAGGGTTCCCTCTGTGCCCCACCTCCTTGGGCAACACAGCCAAAGGAACCCTACCCTCTAGGTCCTCACCTGAGTCCCCAGTCCCCACCCACCCCTGCTCATGGTTCCCTCCATTAGGGCCCCAGAGTCACTGGCTTTCCCACCAGCCAATGACCAACCATGTCATCCATGCAGAAGATGTGAAGTTTCTACTGGTTACCGTAACCTGGGAAACCAGCTGGGTGCATCGTCACCAAATCTGGAGAGTCCCATTGGGATGGTCTGACCTAGAGTACCAGTCACGCAGGTGACATGACCACTCATCAGGACGGCTAGCATGGAGGAGAGAAAGAAAGGAAATAACAAGTGTTGGCTAGGATGCAGAGAAACCTTGAACCCTTATGCCTTGCTCGCGGGGATGTAAAATGGTGGAGCTTTGCTGTGGAAAACAGTATGGAGGCTCCTCAAATATTAAACATAGAATCACCACATGGTCCAGCAATCCCACATCTGATCAGATCCCGCAAAGAAGTGAAAGCAGGGACTCAGACAGATATTTGCACACCCATGTTCACAGCGGCATTAGTCACAAGAGCCAAAAGGTGGAAACAACCCAAGCACCTAAGAAAGGATGAATACAGGGGCGCCTGGGTGGCTTAGTTGGTTAAGCGTCCGACTTTCGCTTGGGTCATGATCTCGCGGTTCGTGGGTTCGAGCCCCACGTCGGGCTCTGTGCTGACTGCCAGCTCAGAGCCTGGAGCCTGTTTCAGAGTCTGTGTCTCCCTCTCTCTCTGACCCTCCCCTGCTCACGCTGTCTCTCTCTCTCTTCTAGAAATAAATAAAAATATTTAAAAAAAAAAAAGAAAGGATGAATACATGGACATAATATGGTCTATCCATACAATGTAATGTTCTTTGGCCCTAAAAAGGACAATCTGACACATGCTACAACATGGATGGACCTCAAGGACATTACGTTAAGCGAAATAGGAGACATAAAAAACAAATGCTCTGTGGGGCGCCTGGGTGGCTTAGTCGGTTAAGCGTCCGACTTTCACTTAGGTCATGATCTCGCGGTTCGTGGGTTCGAGCCCGCGTCGGGCTCTGTGCTGACTGCCAGCTCGGAGCCTAGAGCCTGTTTCAGTCTGTGACTCCCTCTCTCTCTGACCCTCCCCTGTTCACGCTGTCTCTCTCTCTCCTAGAAATAAATAAAACATTTAAAACAAAACAAATGCTCTGTGACCCCACTTACAGGAGGTCCCCGAGTCAGATTCTGAGACAGGAAGTAGAATGGCAGGTGCCAGGATCAGTGGGAGGGAGATAGGGAGTCCGTGTTGAACGGGGACAGAGTTTAATTAAAGAAGATAGAGAAGTTCTGGAGACGGATGGTGGTGATGGCTGCATGACAGGGTGAACTATACTCTGAAATGGTTAAGCTGGGGGGCAACTTAAGAAGAAGCTAAATAAAAGGGGCTTTCTCATTAAATGCACATGTGCACACACACACATAGCTGGGTTCTTTTTTTTAAAATGTATGTATTATTTATCTTGAGGGGGAGGAGGGGCAGAGACAGAGAATCCCAAGTAGGCTCTGTACTGTCACCACAGAACCTCATGTGGGGCTCGAAACCACAAACTGTGAGATCATGACCTGAGCCGACATTAAGAGTTGGACACTTAACTGACTGAGTCACCCAGGTGCCCCACATGTAGTTGGGTTCTAATCCTGACTCCGTGTAGCCTGGGCTTCAGTTTCCCTATCTGAAACTGGGGGTGACTGTAAAAGACGATCTTTGGGTCCACCCCAGGGTGACCTTTTCCTGTATGTGGTTCAAGGTGGAGGGGGGGTCACCACTTTGGCAGCAAGACTTTTGGGTCACTTCTAACCCCTGGGCAACCTGACTGTAGTCTGGCTGCCACCCCAGTCACCAGAGTCACCTTTCTGAAGGTCTGTCACTTCCCTGCTCTAACACCATCCATGGCTCCCCATTGCCCTCAGTCTGGCATCCAAAGCCCTTCAGGAGCTGGCTCACTTCAGCCATAAAGATCCCCCTTCTCAGGATGTTTTGGACACTTTTCACCCAATCTGTAAATGTTGGGGTTCCTTAGAGCTGGTCCTGAGTCATCTCTTCTTCTCCCTCTGTGCATATGACGTGGGGATCTCACCCCCCTCCCAACAGCTTTTGTGCTCCTGTCTCTGAGATGCCTCCCATGTCTTGACCCCAGGGGGGCCTCCCAGACCCTCATATTCACCTCCCCTCCTTCTTCCTTCTCTGCCCACATCCAGTCTATTGTCAGGTCCTGTCAGTAGTCTATCCTAAATATCTTTCACACTCATTTACTTTTCCCCATCCCCATCTTCTCAACCTGTCGTGTCAGGCCACCACTGCGATGGCCTCCTCCCATTGGTCTCCCAAGTTTCCTCCCGCCCCTCACCGCCCCCCCCCCGCCCCGCCCCAGCAGTCCATTCTCCAGCAGCCAAAGGGATCTTCCTAAAATTAAATCAGATCACAGCCTTTAATCAGATAATGGCCTTCCCCTGTTCAACATCCTCCCCTAGCTCCCCATTATGCTGAACACAATTCAGATTCCTTCCCATGGACTACGGTGCTCTGTGTGCCCGGCCCCTGCGGACCCCTCCACCCTCTCCCACTGCTCTCCCCCTTGCTCACTCGACTTTAGCCACTCTGGCCACAGGCCAAGGTCATTCCCACTTCAGGGCCTTTGCACATGCTGTTCCCTCCAAATCTCATGCCTTTTCCCCAGCTCTGCCCACGAGGGCTCCTCCTCCTCCAGCACCACCTCTGCTTTTTCACCACAATCAGCCACCTCCTTTATTGAGCACCTTCTGTGTGCAGTAGCTTTCTCAGCCATTTCTTTCATCTTCCCAGGAGCCCTTCGAGGCAGCTGGGGGTCTTCTAAGTAGAGTCACAGCAAGAACCCCAACCCCTGTCCAGAACAATCCCAGCAGATGTCCCGACAAAGGAAATGTCTTCCTGAAAC